AGAGCAGTGCAGCGCTCTTTATTACCTCTTGTAGGAGGTGAGGCAGGTTCTGGGAAGGTGAACTTGGCTGAAGTGGGGCAGGAGAAGCCAGGGCAGCGTCCCCGCTCAGCGCAGCACCCCGTGGGCTGGGAACGGGGAAACGAGGAGGTTTTACGTGCTGCCTCAGCCAAACCAGAAGTACTTGAACCCACATACTCAACTTCAGTGTCTCACTTCAACATCCCACCCCTTCCAGCGGGGCTCCAGGCAGCACGTGGGTGAAGGCAGGTGTCTGCAGCAACTGTGAAGCCTTCCTCCGCTTACGTCCTAGACTCGCTAATTAAAAGAGTTAAAAATGTCTCCAGGGATGTTTTCCGGAAGCTGCTTGCACATGGAGTGGCGTGGCGCAGCGTAAGAGCACGTGGAATGGCGTGGATCCCGCCCGTTAGCTCCCCGAGGGTTTGCAGCTTGGAGTTGTCAGGAACAACAATTCCTGCCTAGTGGAGGAATTCTCCCTAGCAGAGAGTGATAGGACAAGGGGAAATGGATTTAAATGGCACCAGGGGAGGTTCAGGTTGGATATTGGGAAGAATTTCTGTACTGAAAGGGTTGTCAGCCATTGGAACAGGCTGCCCAGGGAGGGGATTGAGTCCCTGTCCCTGGAGGGGTTTAAGAGACGGGTGGTGTTGCGTTGGGGGACACGGATTAGTGGGTTAGTAGGGCTGAGACAAAGGCTGGACTCGATGATCTTCAAGGTCTCTTCCAGCTGAAACTATTCTATGATTCTATGACCATTCATTAATGTGTGTGTCAGGGGAGTTTCCTAACGATCTCCGTGACAACAGGCAAACCTGGAAACTGGGAATGAGGTCTGTTCGTGCTTCCGTGCACATCTGGGGCTTGTGTTGGCTGCAGCATGGAGAGGACTCATCCTAGCCCCACCATGGCTCTGCAGCATCCGCAAGTCCCTGCTCCAGGCTAGGTGATGCTTCAAAGCCGTACACTGGGGGAGCCGAGGGTTTGAAAGCAAAGAGCATAACAAGGAGTGAGGTTTCTTGTGGTTAATGCAAACACCTTGATGCTTCCACCCCGATTCCATGGTGCCTTTTGCAATTTGAGCGCTCTTGCTCCTCGCTGGCTGCTCAAGACGAGTAGGCGTGAGTAGTAACCTAATCTAACTCTACGGCGATAAATCCACAGACTGAACGTGCTGAGCACGGTCTGCTTGGAAATTAATAAGGCAAGAAAGGAAAATGAGATCAGTGCATGGAGAGAAGCTGTCCTACGCTGTGTGCTTAGTGTTTGCAAAACTGTAGTTGGAGAGGTGAAGTCAGGCAGTGAGCTGGCATGTTGCTTTTTGCAGCGACGAGTGGGAAAGGCCCAGATACACGTGTCTTAAAAATCCCTTCTCTAGAGGTGAAAACATTTGGAATAGATTAAGCCTAATCCAGTATTTCTTGCTGTCTCTTTGCTGAGAACTTCACCTGCAGGTGGAAAGGTGGAACCCATCCACATCCTCCTGTTGGACACTGTTAGTGTAAGGCTGAGTGAGCTTGGAAGAAGGCACAGGAAGAAATCTCGGCTTTCAGCGAGGAAGCCACCTCCACTGGGTTTTTGTAAGAAATGTACCTGCAAAGACCAAATTTGTGAAGGACGTCTACCTGCCACAGGGTTCCTGGAAGATGGGATCCCATACACAGACTGTAAAAAGGCTTTAGACATCTCCTAAGCGTGCATATTTCCTTAATAAAATTTGATTGGTGCCTCATTAAAAATTTAATAATTTGACCATTAAAATTAGCAACAGATGGGAGCTGGAACACAGCCAGGCTTTCTGGACTCCAGACTGCAATTTCCTTGGCTCCATTCCCTCCAAAGAAGTAATCTACATATAAAAAATCTATTTTTGTCAATTATTTGTTGAATAGAGTGCGTTCTCCTTACAATTGCACTTTCATTATCAATCTCAAGGAATTCTTGCTGCGTTGCATCCGCCCGTGCCTCAGCAGGATAACATGGGAGGTGCAAGTTTAGCCCTTTCCTCTCTGCCTCGATTTTTGGGTTACACATTGATGTGACCTGACCTTCTAAGTTAACCAGAGCCCTTTGTAGGTACAGCCACAACGACATCAGCCACGCGTTCTTCTCCCTGCTCCTTTTTACTAGGAAAAGGGGAAAGCAAGCCCTCTTTATGAGGTGCTTCTGCATTGTCTGCGATGAGTTTGTGTCTCAAAGCTCCGGCAGTGTCCACAAGGTAATGTTTGGAGAGCAGTAGGGACAGGGCAATCCTATGAGCTACAGGCACCTGTAGCTCCCAGTCTTTGACACTTCACAGCTTCCTTCGTTGGGAGAATTCCCCCTAACTTATATATTGCCTGAAGAACCACTTTCCTCAATTTATTTGGAGCCAGCGATGCTTGTTGTCTGCTTGTGATGCCTCCTGGTCTTGGCTCTGCAAAACAACCAGTTTTCCCTGAGGCTACTCATGGTTTTTGTAGCCTCCCCCAGGTGTTTCTTTTTCAGACCTAACTCCTGCAGCTGCTCCTCATACATAAACTCTTCCACAGGTTAAAGCGCTCTTTTCTGGTCCTTTCCCCATTCTACTTGCTGAGCTGGAGGCAAGGACTGCCCTAGGGATAGAAGTAAAGCGTGAGTTTAGCCATGGTGCTCTTGCTTTTGTTGTTTATTCCTTTTCAGATGCTGTAGTAGAGTCTGTTAGCGGGGTTTTTTTTGTCTTTTCTGAGCCCATAACTCCATTTAAATAGGGTCACAAAGTAGTTCTTTGGGTATGAGCATTGAGAAGATTTGAATTGTCCTCTGGTGTGGTTATAAAGAGCTCTCCTGGGTCTTTTCCTTGAGGTTGCAAATTTGAGCGAGAATTGCCTTTCAGTTTTATAAAAAAAGAGGTTGGGTGAGAAAGCAAGTCAAGTGTTGTTGATTTCTTTTCTAGGAATACAGTAGAACAAGCTAAAGCATTAAAACTTGCCATGGTAGGAGACGTTAATGAGGACCACGTGCTTTGCTATCTTGTTAAAATTTGGGTCAAAAAAGCCCAGTTATGATTTTTTGGTAACTCACCATTGCAAACACAGTTACATCTTTGGGCTCTGATTTCCAAACAAAGGCATTTTTGTGAGATCACGTCACCTTTCTACTCGTGTAGCTTCAAAATCATTTTTTTCTTCTCAAATCCTTCTTGCTGTTTACCTTGCAGTGAGATCCACAGACCAAACTTCTTTCGACACTTTCATCAGTGTTAGTTTTTAAGCATTACTCCGCTCCCAACTGCTCAAGAAGGACAAATCAGAGGGAGCATTAAGCTGGAAAGAAGCAATTACTGTGCTAATTGATTCCTTCCCAGAGACGGAAGAGGCTTTCCTGCGAGGTTTCCATATAGCTTATGTAGGTTCTGCCAACGTGGTTATCATGCAAATATGCCCGATGGGAGAAAGGTTTCTGTCTCAAACCATCTATTTAATGGTTTTCCTTGTTTTTCATTTGTTGCACGTGTGTGTCAGGGTTTAAATAGAAGGAAGCTGATTGCAAAGGTCATGCCTGGAAAGATTCGTCTCTGGGAACTTGCAGGCTAAGAAATGGAGCTTTGATTTGTTGAGTGTCTGTTATACCAAGACATTTCATAGAATCATGGAACGGTTTGGGTTGGGAGGGAGCTTAAAGTTCATCTCATTCAACCCCCCTGCCATGGGCAGGGACACCTCCCGCCAGCCCAGGTGGCTCCAAGCCCCGTCCAGCCTGGCCTTGGGCACTGCCAGGGATGGGGCATCCGCAGCTTCCCCGGGCAACCCGTGCCAGTGTCTCATCACCCTCACAGAAAAGAATTTCTTCCTAATATTTCTGGAGACAAAAGGATTAATCTTTAGATGGGGGTGCGAGTGCTGCCCATGGCTCAGGATTTAGGTATAACCACCCCCTGCACAGGTTTTTTGTTGCTTCACATGTCAAATCCTAACGTTTCATTGCAAAGACAGCTGTAGGCTAAGCTGGGTACTGAGGCAGGGACTTGGGTTCACAGTCATTTACTAATTACTGGGCGCTCCAACATCAAAATTCCTGAAGCAACTTTGCAAATCATAGCCAGACTATCTGAAATTACTGCTGTTTGCCCAGCACCTAACTTCCTTAGACAGTTCATGCAGAATTTTCTGGTCTGACAATAACATGGTTAAAGGTCCTTTTTCCAGCCACAGATCAAACACTTGCATGCGATCATCTATCCCCAGCAGAAGGAAAAAAACCTCCTGTTTAAGAATTTTGCTTCCTGACGGATGCCTGCTGTGCTAATATCCCTAATCAAGGGTCATGAGAGCCCAGGCAGTGGCAAACCCGCATTCCTCAGTGCAAACAAGCCCTTCAAAATCTGTCTGGTTTTAAGGGGTGGGAGGATCCTTGGTGGGAATGGGAAACAGGCTGGTTGTTTCTGCAGCATCGGGGTTTTAAAGATCTAGTTAAGATTGCTAGGGGACCTCTGAGAGTTAACCAAAGAAATTAATCACAAAATTAATCACGATGACTTGTGTTGTTGCCTTTCCAGAGACCATCAGGGAGCGTAAAAATGCCTTCGCAGGATTTACAGTAGATGTCATGGGAGAAGGTTTGGGAATTCTCTCCCAGAATGTTTTGTGGGTGAGATCAAGCTGGCTGGCAAAGTAAAGAGTCCTTAGAAGTGACCTGATGGCAAAACCTCTCCATCACCCTCTGTGTTCGTGTTATATGGACAGTCAGGGCTGTCCACGAGAGATGAACCATGATCTAGAACCTTTAGACAATCACCTGAAACATACAGCAGGAAAAAGGTCACCACCTCCAGTACTGAGCTCCAGCTTGGCCTTAAATTTGTGTTCTTTTCATGACTGTGGATTTATTTTTTCCCCCCAGAACTTGCTGACTTTGCACCTGAATGGCTGTGCTGGTAGGAAGGGGAACGGGTGCTCTGTGTGTTAGATGGGAAACGTTGTGTTTGTGTCTTGACGTAACCTCTGGATGTTATTCTTCTCCCTCAGACTATCGTACTGGTCCTTGCTTCAGCCAAGTAAACAACCAGATGTGCCAGGGCCAGCTCAGTGGGATCGTCTGTACCAAGACCATGTGTTGTGCCACCATTGGGCGAGCCTGGGGTCACCCGTGTGAGATGTGCCCTGCCCAACCTCACCCCTGCCGCCGAGGTTTCATTCCCAACATCCGGACTGGAGCCTGCCAAGGTAAGGGCCGTGAACACCTGCAGGATGTTCCTTCATCCATCCTCATGTGTGCTGGAGTGGCGAGTGACGAAGGCCTGCCAGGACCCCCAGTGCAGAGGAGAGTTCTCTCAGCACTTTGCGAAATCCATCACTGTATGTTGCAGAGCGTCACCCTGGACCTTGGGTCTCCCGTAGGATCCAGCTTCTTAGGTGACACCTTCCATCCTACAAGATGTAGTGAATCAGGCTAGCGTTTCTCTGGGTTGAAAACTAGGTTACAGCCTTGGGTATACCCTCATTCTGGGGTCCTTTTCCTGTCCACTTCACCTCTAACGTAATCTGATGAGTAATTGCATTACGAAACGTAAATCTACCTAGAGCCTAGGTAGGTTCTGCCTACTTGGAGACAAGCTTCTCCTTCCTTGCAACACTCCCACCGTGTTGGGATTGGATGGCCATCTGTTGCAATGGCTGCAGTTCCTAACCCCTTTGCTCTTCTTCCTATAGACGTGGATGAATGTCAAGCCATCCCCGGCCTCTGCCAGGGTGGTAACTGCATCAACACGGTGGGTTCTTACGAGTGCAAGTGCCCGGCGGGACACAAGCAGAGCGAGACGAGCCACAGATGCGAAGGTAAGATTGCAGAAGTCTGCATGGCTCCGCCAGGCTGCTCAGCACGAGGGCCTTCAGAAAATTGGGACTCTCTCGGCTTAACAATATTAAGAGTAGTTGTGGCAGTTAAGGCAGCTTCTGGAACCGCTCGTTGCTCTTGGACTCAGGATAAGTTGGTCTGTGCTATTAGGTAAATTCAGGATTCATCTAGACAGGGCGAGGCAATGTCTTGGTCCGTGCCGTAAGGACACGCTTCTGCAGCAAAGCGTGGAGCACAGGCAGGATGAGGTTTCAGCATCTCCTTTAGCACTGCTCAGCGCGTTGGAGGGGTGTGCAGACCTCTCTAGGAAGGTTGCCTCTCTCCAGGCATTTTGCAGCCGTTCTTGTGGACAAGACGCATACCTTGCCAGGCAGGCTGCCCCTCTCAGAAGTAAGAGCATGAACAGTCCTTGTATTTTCCAAACATCTGGCAAGTGAAAAGGAAAACAGCATCGAACTTTTCCTGCCTTGCTTGTAAAAGCTCTTTCCCACATACCCTAATGAAAGCCTCCTGGCTTGTGTTTGTCATGGTGTGACTGCATCCCACCTAGCTGGGCTTCAGGATCTCCACTTCCCTTTCATTCCTTTCCAAGGCTCGGCTGTAACCAAGACAAGGGATGATGAATGCACTAGAATCCAGACGTTCAACCTGAATTCTAGCCCCACCCTCCTGCAATCCAGACATTTTCCTTGTTAGGATAATTCTAGGAGTCTCTATGTCAGTGCACGCTGTGTGACCTGGGTTCAGCCCTTCAGAAAAGCTTTTCTAAAGTGAGACACCAGCTACAGAGGTTAATCCTTTGGTGGTGGATGGACGTTCTTTTATGTCAAGAAGAAATTTGTGTCTGTGGATCTTCCTTGGCAGGATGCCATGAGACTTCCTAAAATTTTAACGGAAGCGTTTCTTGCAGTGCTCTGGCGTCTGAAGACTTGGAATCGGTAAAATCCAAAACAGTTCTTTTTATGAACGTCTCAGGTGAAGAACTTCCTCCCAAAGCCAGGGATGTCCCGTGCCATTTGGCTGGCCAGTGGGCAAAGGCTGGACTGCACTAGAATTGTGGACCTAACCTCAGGACACACAAAAAAATTGTTCTTGCCTTAGTCTGCCTCGCCCATGCTGGCTGAGGACCAGGCAAAGCACATATGAAATCAGTTTAGCTGGAATCTCCTATATACCAAGATTAAAAACAATCCATTGTCTGTCAGCCAGATGTGAGGGGCCTCTGCGTGGGTCCTTGCTTCCCAAAATGCCTGCAAAAGCAGCGTGATGTGGCCATAAACAGCTTCCTTTCACATCTCCAGCATCTACGGTGTCTGTTCCATCACTTATCTCACCTCAGTTGCGAAGGAGACCACCAAAAGAGGATGCTTTCCTTTGGTCTGATTTTCTGACCTCGGGGCCCTTCTGTGAGAATGGCATAAACACAAGGGATGCTCTAAACTGATGGGGTTGAGATTGTTTCCGAGGGTTTATTTCCCAGACGTGAACCACCAGCGTGTCCCCCAGCCAGGCAGTCGGAAGGCGAAGAGGACACCCTTGTGTCCCTCTGGGACGTGTCCCCTGTGTGAGTCACTCGAACTGTAGTGGGTAGGGCAACAGGGAGCCAGTGTGAGGGGTTCATCGGATGCCAACGCTGCATAAAGATGGAAAGATGAGGGCTCTGCCTCAGTTTGATACGTCAGGAGTGAGAGAGCACCAAATTCCTGATTTTCTGAAACTGCCTGTACTGCCAAAGTAGCTGTAGTGGTCCAAGTAACCTCCTCACTGAGCCAAGGCTTTAAATAAAAATAACGACCACAAACATAAGAGGATATTTGCTTTATCCAGGTGTGCTCCAAGCCTAAAATCTCCAAGCTGCAGGAGTTCCCTTCCTGAGTCTGTTTGCACTTACTTTATAGCTGCGAAAGGAGCGATTTCTCAGCTTGCGCTGAGACCGTCTTGCTTTAGGAGGATGGTTTCCTCTTGTTTCCACATTCCTTATCCGAGCCTTAGCATCCAGGAAATATTAAAACTAGATTAAATGCCTGTGTTAAATTCTTCCCTAGTTCCCAGGAGCTTGTGTTTTCTGCTTAGAAGCTTCCTCCCGGGGAGTGAAGTCAGCAGATGGGATTGCGTTTGAGCCAGAGGTCAGAGCCCGTGTCACTGATTAATGATGGCTCCCTCATTAACGCAGCAGCATGCTCCCCTCATCTTCCCCGGGCTCTTCATTGGTGGGAATAGGCAGGAGTAGAGATAATGTTGTTGTTGCCCAGAGTGATACTTATCTCTTAATGCAAATGGCACCTGGAATTAAGGCTCCATTTGCAGTCCCTGGATCCCTGAAGAATAAAGATGCTTTTCTTATGCAGGATCTCCTGCGCTGATAACCAGGACCAGCTCAGGCTGAATTTTGGTCAAACTCAGAAGGAAAACTATGTCTTTTTTCTTTTTTTTTTTCCCCCTCACTCTGCAAAACGTGAAAACGTGCACACGGCGTCAAGTTTGGCTTCGAACCTAACTATCCTCCCAGCTCAGGGTTGCTCAGTTATTCCTGCAGCTTTAAATGAATGTGACGCTTTCAAATAGTGGCTTGATTTTCTGCCTTTGTTCATTGTATTTCTGAGGGAGCTCAAGGGATCAAGAGTTCCTGAGCTTGGGGCTGCGCGACATATAATGAGAAATTTCTGGCACAGGGAGTTGGCTGCTCCCTTTCTGGAAGGAAGATAGAAGCAGTCTGTGAGACACGGCGGTGGGGTGCAGGGGGTGGATCGAGGGTGAGGAAAGGGAAGGCTTCTCTTAACCAGTGCTAGAGACAAAGCCAGCTCTGCAAATGCCATTTATATTGTGTTTGGCTGAAAAGCTGAGCAAGGAGGGCAGATTGTTGCCAGCTTAGGGCTAAAGTAGACGGATACGACGCCCAGCTTATGGGGAAACTGGGAAAGAGCAGGATCTGTTGACGTTTGCAGGGAGCTGAAAACGAATTTCTGGGGGGGGGGGGCACAAGAAAGCACTCCTGGTGCAAAATGGAGAAAGGGAACATCAAAGCTGAAATGAGACTCGTCCTCCTGATGCAAAGACCTTTATCAATAAATATTAGGGAAGTGGGGTGTTGTTCCAAAGATTGACATTTAATTATCCTGGAAGCAACCATAGAAATTACACTTAAGGGAGCAATTCCATGGCGTGCAGTTAAGGGTGGAATCACTGACCGAACAAAGCGTCTCCTTCCATCACTTCATTCTCTGCCAATAATTTGACTTCTTTTCTTAATAGCCCTTCCTCTACTGCATAACAAAATGCTAAGCCAGCTCCGTTATCAGTGAGGAATGTAATGCCAGTACCTCGCCCAGGATGCTTTCCAGTGCCCCAAAAGGAATTAAGCGTCTCGCATCCAAAATTGTTCCGGGCTGATAACATACAAGATACAAAGAGGTACATGGAGAAACACCAGGCAAGGGAGTGAATGGCCCTATGTGCTTTCTGCAACAGGCTCTGCTCAAGTCTGGTCAGGGTAGATTTTTTTTTTTTTACCATCTTCAGCATCTCCAGGAGACAGATTCTGCTGAGGGAGAGGAAATCCTCTGATTCTGAATCTCACTTCTTTCTGTTTAGCGCTTGTCGAGTGACATGTTAGACATTGCTTATGTCCCTACAGGCTAGTCTTTTGTCACCACCACACAAAATTCCAACTTTTCTGAAGAAGACAAGGCTCTATTTTGACTTTTTTTTTTTTACTCTGTTGAATCTCCTTCACGTTTCTGAATTGGAGGGAGCTCTCCTGCATTTTCCGTGAGCAGAGCGCATAGGCTGGCCCACTTTCCTCGTGAATGGAACACGATAGCTGTTTTATTAGCGTGTTTTCAATTTTCTTACAAAATGTCTACAGAAGAGCTCATTGTTTGGCTCCATTAAAAGCTCATTTCCATGGATTTGGTGTGGTTTGGAGGCTTCCATTACTCTCCTCTGTGGTTTCTTTGTGCTCTCTGGAAGGGAAGGTCTGAGAGTCCCGTGAGCTGCACGGGACAGGGCTGATGAGGCATGACCTCTGCTACGTGACACGGAGATGTTTTCTCCATCGAGTCCTGGGGTTTATTTTTTTATTTTTAGCAGATGGAAAGGTTGGGGTTTCAACATGTCTGTGCCACCCGTGTTGGATGGGCTTTGCAGGCTGCAACTCTCCTTCTGAAGCTCTGTAGCCTTTGGCTTCCAGCGATTTCAGCCTTAACGATCAAGCCAACTCCAACCCAGCGAGTTGGAGACCAGATCCAAAATCAACGTTTGCATTGAATTCTGCCATTGTCTGAAGAGCAGAGTGCACAGAATATTGCTTTAATTTTTAACAGAGGGCTGGAAAAGTCATGAAGTAGCCAGGTTGGAGTTGGAAGAATTCCCTACCCGGAGCTGGCAGCTGGGTGTTAATGAGAGGTGTACGTATCCCTCCCACTGCGTCAGGCTCTCTGTGGAACTTCAGCCCTGAATGAATCAAAACGATGAGACGCTTTACAAAGAGAAAATAAAGAAGGCAAACGCGGTGAGGAAGAACTGAAATAACAACAAAGCCCCAAGCTCAGTTTCTCAAAGTACAGGATGTGTGAGAAGTCTTGAGAAAATCCATCTTTTTTTTTTTTTTTTTTTCCTTTTTCCCCTTGCTTCTTGCGTTGCTCACAAGGCTCGCGTTTGAGCTGGCATTTTCAAGGGGGAGAAAAACACTGCGGTTGGATTCAACCTTTTGAATTAACTCCGTTTTTCTTTAAGAATGGAATGCAGTTGCTGCCACCACCAACACACACCCTTCTCCTTGGATGACTGACGCTGTGTCATAAGCACTGACCGAATAAGACGTCAGATCTCCGGTACAACGAACTTCAGGAGAGATTTTAAGCTGTTCTTTCTAACAGTATGACCAGCTTTTGCTTCGTAAAGCTCTTTTCCTTGCAGTGCTCTGCAAACTGTAACCAAACACAGGGCCTGTAATTAAATGACAGGGCTGGCTCTAGTGATAAAATCTCTTTCGCTGCAGGGGCCAGGCGGGGGGAAGTGGTTTCTTCGCTGCCTTTCTAGGTTCCAAGACATGTTGGAGGGGCTCTGAGCATCAAAGAGCTGAAGGAGCACTGCAAGGACAGAGGCAAAATCTCTACTGCTTGCAAAAGGCAGCTGAAATCCTGGGCCAGCTGAAAGCAAAATTTTAGAGTTTCTAAGAAGCCAAATGGGAATGCATCTTCCCCTCTTGAAATAGGAGCGTGTAACCCGCCCCGTGCGCTTGGGCTTCGTTCTGTGTGGGTTGAAACTGAGGTTTCACTTGACTCCTCTGGATTTCGCCAAAGTAAAACGAGATGGTTGTGTTTGTAAACAGGTGGTGTGAGCACAGAGAAGAGCCTGAAGATTGTTTCTTTGACCACATGAAGCACCCATCGGGGGGGTCTCTGTCCCTGCTATGTGCCCCTGCCACGACAGGCAGCTCAGCTTGTCTTCCTTAACCGCACTGATTGTCAGCCCATCGCTGAGCTGAGTGGGATGTATTTCTCTGTGTCTCACGTTGCAGGGAAAAATCATCACTGTTAGGGCAAAACTTTTCTACTCTGTTTAGACATTTCCATTCAGGTGTGATGGATTCCTCTCTGGATGAGATTATCTCCTTCTGCTGAGTGTAAATGGCATCGAGGAGAAACTCTGCTGGAGGTGCCTGCTCTGTAACCGTCTAAGACATCAGACCACATCCCAGCATGTCCAGTTCATTTCTGCAGTCTTTTCCTCTCGAGGACTAACAGTGTGGACCTTCTTACACCTCTTTTCCCTCAGAGTAAGGTAGGGGCTTTGGGGTGATGCAGATTAATTGTCGTCATCATCAGTCCACCAAAGGCTGGTGGAGTGGAGTCACAGCACCTGGGACACAACAGCAGAAAGCTCCTGGCAGCCTCTCTCATTTTAGAGAGAAGGATGAAGTTTATGAGGATGTTTCTGGAAGGCCAAGGACAACGCTTACTCCTTGAGTCGCCCCTGTGCAGCCAGATTTCACCCCTCTCCAGCCTTCCCTTGGATTTGTGCCTGTGCTCGGGAATCCTCTGCAGACCTCGTTAGGTGAGCTGAATCCATCCCAAGCCTTGCAGAACCAGCCCTATCCCTGGGGACGTAGGCCAAATCTTATTTGGTGTAAATCCTGAATTTCTGATGTCTCAGCTTCAGTTTTCATCTTCTCTGTTTGAGACCGCGCTCTCGCCGTCGCCTTGGTGTGCCTCTTTTCTACGATCCCATCACATCCTCACAGTTTCTGGGATAAATATAACCGAGTTCTGCTAGCCCCTTAATGTCGGGTTTTTTCCAGACTTTGAGTCATCCCCCTAGACTCTGAACCTCTCTTTTTTGTTAATACCCTCTTGTAAGAGCTGACACCACACAGAGCTGTGGCATCCAGGAACGATCCTAGTGGAGAGGTAACATCACCCACCCATTGGTGCTCATCTCCCATGTATTTGGGGCTGCACTAGCATCGCCAGCCACTGCATGGCACTGTGAGACTGCACTCAGAACCGTCCTTCCTGACTATTTTTTCTGTTTCACAATGGACAGGACACAGCTCACCCTCCTCTGAGCAGCCCACACCCATTTCTTGCAGGAATTTCTTGGCCGTTTCTCGGCTCTGTCACTCAAATCCACCATCACAGCCAGGTCTTGGGGCTCCCAGCACAAGATTCCTTCTGGTCCCTCCCTTGCTCCGTTGGGGTGAGTTCAGGTAACTCT